GACCTGCTGATATACACAATCCTCTTTCAATGGAGACCTGGGGAACTACAGTGAGTTGAAGGAGACCCTTCAAGGTACAATTTCAACAAATGCATTTGAATACTCATCACCAGAGGATCCAAAAAGAGATGAAGAGACATTAATTTGGGCTTGCAAAAAGTCCCCATTCCCTGAATCCGTATTTGAGCCGAATGTTGAGTAATGTTTAGAAAGCTGCATTGTCAATGTTCACATTTACTGTGAATGCTTGACGTTTTTTTTTATTCATCCGGAGTTAACTACACAACTGCGTTGAGTGCATCATAACGAAAGTTTGTGCAACTTCGAACAGATAAGCGCTAAAGAAACATTTCCCCCCTCCCCCCCGCCTAGTATAGTTGTTGGCAAACCATAATGTATGTTAAAGTTGTCAATGTTTTACTTTGGATTTATAAAACACGAAGTTAAGGCACCGCATGTTGCAAACAACTCAGTTGAGATCTTGAAGTACAGCTTTCATTTTGTATTTATTGTCATTGCAAAAGTGTAATTTTCGATGTTTTTCATTTTAACTTTTTTTGATGTCTGCAAAGCGTCTACTACAAGGGCAACCCACAAATACATATAATCAGCACAGGCGATGTATTTTGCAGTTAAACATACACGTTCAAACATGTTGGTGCTGCTCAACTCTGCGAGCGGTCCTGTGTCTGTGGTAAAAATGCATCATTCTTTTTAATCTGCACAATGTGGTACTAATTTTATAGGCCAGGATGGATGGTGGGCTAAATTGACTCCCGACTGAGATGTGAATCGAGTGCTGAGCGACAGCCCCAGCTCATTGGCATGCCTTTTTCCATGCTGCTAGCAATGCGGCTTCATTTTATAGTCAACTGTTACGTTATGAAACTTTTACAATGATTAATGTCGGTGTATTGCTGTGGTCACATTACACATTTCCACATTGTCCCAATGATATTAACTAAATATAGGCATCATCCGTTGGCTACGTAATAGGCAGCAGAGCTCAGTGCAGCAAATTCCATCATTGTACTGTCCTATGCATTCACGTCTATACTCTCCACACCGTCAGCAATTTGCACAGACCAGCGCGGTGAAGTGTTGTCAGATAACCCCCACGACCCACAAGGCATGGGGAGGCCTTCATCCAACAGTGGACTTAACGGACCGTACGTGTAAATCCTAAGTGACCTGTAAGTGCAAGATGCTGCACAAACTCGTATGTTACACAGTATTGGAACCTGGGTTCTCAGGGTGAGCCACATTCCCATGTAGAGCTGCCACTGCCCTTGTTCCATATAACAAACAAGAAAGATAAACACGTGTGTCTACTCAGGTGCGTGTGCCTAGTGATACAATCAGTAGCTAGGGGTCTGGCTACGTGACTTGGCAGCAACTAAGTAAGATCTGCAAAGTTGCACTTTAAATGCCAATCTTTGAAAGAGGTAAGACTATCTGTAGACTCTGCAATTGTTAGTGATAAGGATGTTTATCTTCAGTTGCATTTTTTTAAACAAAGGATCTATTTATTTTGTTGACCAAAACTAGTTTTCTATTTTATACACATGACTGAATCATTCATTTTTTTTTTAATTGAATTGTCCGACGCAGTCCCGCATAACCGTTTGCAACTGAGAATCAAGTGTAGTTATTCACGTCCTTATCGCCTCACCTGAACCGCAGATTAGGATGCTTTTAACTTGACGTTTCAGGTAAACGAGGCCTTCAGTTCACCTTGCTTATAGAAACCAAAACTCGGCCAAGTGACGCTCACCGGTCTTCATTCACCACGGAGTGTCATTGTATGTACCTGGGTTGAACTTCAATCTTGATTTGAAGCTTTCGTGACTGCAGGAATCCATACTCTTTGGTTCGTTCGGTAAAGTCACGGAGGTAAAAATAAAACAAAATAAATCAAGACGAGGAGCATTCCAGACGGCCGCAGAAGCGCATCTGAAAGCGCGCGATGCAGTGAACATGTTACGCTCGCCGGTCCTCATTCACCGCACAATCAGTGCGATCCATTCAAATTGGTGGTACTGCATTCGGAGCACTCGACGCTGCGATCAGGTCTTGAGTTCAATATCCTCGTTGAATGGTCAACTGGGGCCGTCATCTTTACGGGCTATATAAAATAAGTACCACAAACTGAGGATGCTACGGTGGTTGTCTTTTTTTTAATTGGCCGAAGCCCTGAGTGGGTGGAATTTTCACCACTGGACTCAGCACCGCCAAAAGTTGCGCATTTACCCCATGCGCATTTGATTTGCAGTTTCAGTTGTGCAACGAATTTAAATTTAACATTTACTTAACCAGAAAAACCGTCAAAACATCTCAAGACCCTTTTGTTGATGGTCCTACATTGGAGTGTTTAACCAAGTAATGGTCATTTGCACGTGGAAATAAACCAGTTTTTTTTTGTTGGGGGGGGGGGGAATACACATAAGGGGATCACTCAGATTTACTTTTGTATGTTTTGTTTGTACAATATTTTTGCAGTGGACTTTTTTGTGAGTAGTCTGAATTACATGATGATTATTGAAGCTACAAGTCACAATGTTAAACATGAGCAGCGTACAACTTTATAACAGCTTGCAGTTTAGGGGTTAAAAGCCATTTTACTTAAATGGTGCATGTCGGTGTGCCACACTTTTCAAGTAAGACTTTTAAAAAATCCAGCAATAATGTGATGAGTGGTAAATCTCATAAGTAATAAACATACAACTCGTGAGGACTCGAAACATGCTCTTGCTGTTGATCATTTATCAATCGCATGAAACAACCAAATCTTATTCATCGGTGTCTGTTGATTCCTCAGGAAGCACGATTACAGGACACGAATTGGTAAAAACTCGGTGAACTTTTACAGGGGACAAATTCTAAAATTGAAAGTTTTGATTCATGACAAAATGAGAGTATTGCTGCTATGTACGGGAGGTGAGATAATGAATGACATCGATGTGATTATCGGATCCTGTGCTCCCCTCTGGACATTGACACTGCTGCTGCAACACTCAAGTCCAGGCCCAAGACATGAAACTAAATACAATTATTTGTATTTTACCAGGTAAGGACCACTGAGCTATATTATAGCTCTTTCAGAAACGGCCTGGCTATCGCAAATAATAGCTCAACGAAATGGCTTCATGTAATGTGGACATTTGTAGCAGCCAAATATTCTAAACGCATGTTGATTCTAATTGTGGAGGGAAAACCCGGAGGACCCGGAGAAAAATCCACGCGACCACGGGGAGAACACGCAAACTCCAAATATACAGGCGCCAGGATTGAGATGGAACCCACGACCTCCTGTATACCAGGCGAGGTAGTTAACATCTCGCCAGCGTTGCGCCCTTCTGATATGCCTTCTCATCTCTGCCTGTGATTTGATGCAGTGCATTCTCACCTGTACAATATTGCTATCTCATATTATGCCATCACAGCCTCACCTCTTGCCCTTCACTCCCTCTGAATACTGTATAACCTAGAATCCGGTTTGTGAGCCAACGAGGTGTGAATTCCCCACCCCCTTTTGGCACAGGAACGTGAGCTAACATTTGTTGTGGTAAAGTACAAATCTTAAATTAACTTATTCACTAGAAGCGATCACATTGCACCAATTTTGCGTTATTATATGCATGTACATTGCGAGGGTCTGGTTATAATAGGCTGCTGAATGATATTATTTGCTAAGATGTTTGAACTTAATTTATTGATGTGATGTGCATTATAAGCAGAGTTGTGCAGTGAAACTCATAGTACCTGTACCACTTCATGTCATGTGTTTTAAGGCGCCCAACGTAAAAAAATATGTTGTAACAGATTATTGGTCAATATTTACTTTTGGGGAATTATTTTGGGTCCCGTTGAGAGAACGCGGCAGATGTGAATAGGACGCGCTGTCCACTAGAACAAGCCGTTCCATCTGTTCTCAACACCAACTCATGAATGAGTCATCGCAAACTGCGTGTTCATTATAGATGCAATACACACACACACGCACGCATGGCAGGCCATAATTATGTACGCGTATGTATTCACGCTGTGACAATACTGCTGTGCTATTATGAATGGGTACTTGATTAAATCTCTCATTATATTACACAGGAAAAGTGGGTCGTCATTCTCCATACGAGTATTGAGTGGTGTTTATCTCTATTGTCCTGTGCCGGCAGTGATAAGTTCACATCAATCAAATCTCACCGTTGTTCATCACCGTTTACTTCCCACTAACCATCGACATTTCACCCAGTAACTATATATTTTTTTCTTCTTGATTCTTTCGGTAAAGTCACGTAGAAGGGAAATAATAAAATAATAAAAATAAAACAATAAGATAATTCTCACGATGTTTCGGCCACAACGCAAGCAGCCGTCCTCAGATGAAGAGGACAGCTGCTTGCGTTGTGGCCGAAACGTCGTGAGAATTATTTTATTATGTTTTATTTTTATTATTTCCCTTCTACGTGACTTTACCGAAAGAACCAAGAAGATGAATCCCTGCAGTCACGAAAGCTTTAAATCGAAATATATATATTTTTTCCATTTATATTCCAAATTCTCAAGATGTAACAAAATAAATATATATATCCTTGAACTTTCAATTCAACTCTTACAGCGAGCAGTGGACCACCTTGTGTCACAGAACAGCTGCAATGGGTGGGGTTCATGGGAACAATCCCCATGGCGGTAGAGAAAGTGGTACAGATGTGACTGACCGCAAGGATTCATACTCTTAGGTTTTTTCGGCAAAGTAACGTAGGTAAAAAATAAAATAAAAAGTTAATAAAGTAATAATGGACATAAAATTATAAATCACGACGTTTCGGAGGCAACACGGAGACTTGTGTTGCCTCCGAAACGTCGTGATTTATTATTTTATTTTATTTCCATTATTATTTTTATTAACTTTTTATTTAATTTTTTACCTACGTGACTTTACCGAAAAAACCTAAGAATATGTGACTGACCGCCTGTGAATGATTGAATCGGTGAATTGATAGGTACTGTTAAGTGAAATCCTACCTATGAACGATATTACATCGCACGCAACCATGTTATGCCCCGGGTTGGAAAATCGAAAGCCCCAACTCCCAAGTGAGATGCGAAGTCTGCATACTGCACCGATGTATCCTTGCAAAAAGAAGCGCACGCGTGCTTGAAATAAAGAGAGCACCAGCAAGAGGCAGCCATTGTCACTGCACTGTTTACTTGTAAATATTTGTGGCGTACAGCCCCCGACTGTGCACAGTCATTGTCTATACCAGGTGCGAGCCGCGTCCAGCTTGGGCGCTGTTTGCCGACTGCGGGAAGGACCCACGAGCACCAGGGCCGGATTAACGCAGGGGCTTCCGGGGGCTGCAGCAGAGGTCGCAAACGAGTTTTGATTCCTTACCCATACCCGGCCGCACCCGGCTGGGTAACGGGTACCCGGCTGGGTAACGGGTACCCGGCTGGGTACGGGTACCCGTTCCCTACCCGTACCCTACCCGAAATGAGTGACAAACGGTTACTCACCAGTGACTCACGGCCTACCCGTACCCGGACGCACCAGGGTCGCAAACGTGTACCCGTACCTGGCCGGGTACGGGTATCGGGTAGGGTACGGGTATCGGGTACCCGGTTGCGACCTCTGGGCTACAGCCCATATCACCACAGCTTTATAATGGTCGAATGGCAATACTGCAGGCAGTGATGAATCCCCAAGGGCAATTTGGTAAAGCCGTATAGCGTCACTGTGTTCCTACCCATTATTAGCACGGTTGGCTACGTACGGTGTTAGACATACATAGTCATGCCCCGAATTAAAATGGGTTCGTTTTAAATTTGATTAAGCTTGACAGTTCCCATATTACATTTTGAAACTCGAACTGAAACAATCAAGTGAATAACAAAAGGCATCGGGCAAAGGGTGTTAGTAAATCAGTCAAGGCAAGGAACTGAATAGAGACAAAGAGTGGCCCCCAAAAACTCTTTAACAGCCCCAGGTCGCCTTCAAACTTAATCCGGCCCTGGGTACGAGAACACCCAGGGAGGGAACAACTCCGCGGGACTGTTAGCTGCGAACACAGGCGACTAAGAGAGACATCACGTTCACGAGCATGACAGCCTGCGGGGAGCTAGGAGATTCCCAATGCGGCTCTCTTGGAAACGTCTGCCCACCCCTGAATATAAAACATTATGTTTACTTGTCGCTCGGTTTCCAGGTACCCGCTAAACCTTAACGGTGCCTTCTGAATGTGATGACAAACTGTCTGCATTTGCAGCAAGAACTGTGCCTCCCTGCCAAAAGTTGTCTTTTAGGCTTCCAAGCTTGCGTTTAGCAGCCTAGAAAGCGGTGTTTTGTTACAATTGTTATTACTGTGCAGGAGTGAAGACGAGATTCTTGCTGCAAATGAAGACATTTCACTTCTTTATACTTGGATGTCATTCATATGCACATCTTGAAAGTACCATTTGTTATTGAAATAACCCTCTTACTGAAGGGTTGAAACCCAAAGCGTGCGTGGTTCAATGTGTGTACACGCAGACATGATACAAAAGATCTCCAGCATAATCTGGCCAGGTAACTGGGGATTAATGCTGTTGGCAAGCACCGATTTCAGTGGACATTACACACACATGGGGTGGAATCCCACCTGATCCACCCAGCACTAGTGTTCACAAAGTGCCTCACTTTAGTCCAAGTCAACACAGGTACAGATATATCCATATATTGTATCCACATGGCCACAAACGCACATCATTCAGCACACACCATTATAGCCACCCCTTACAGTATTGTGATTAGCACCATTGTCATTTGTTCAAATGTGTGGTCCAACAAGAGATGTTATATTTTATAAAGTTTGTGATTAGTTTTTTTTGTTGCCTAAATTTATTACAGCATGTTTTTTTTTTACATGGCACTTCTACACGTCATTGTTCCAGTGTTATCTAAGCAAATTTATTTCGTTACATGTAAAGACTACCCACACAATTACAGTAGAAAGAAAACAAGGCCAAATAAATAAAACAACCACTCCTATATATGGGCACATGGGTGCAGTAATATTAATATTTGACATAGTCAAACTTTACTTGATTTAATGACGATGTTCCCACGTGGAAGATTCGTAAAACTTTGGTGGGTCCCTGCACGTTGTTACGGCGCATACGTCATTTTAGTCGGTGAAATCATATATCCTAGTGCCTGGCCTTAAAACAAAAAGAACAATGCGCACTTGTTTAAAGTACATCGAACCGTTGGAATTGTAGCTTTGCGTGGTCATCAATCAACTCGTCACAGATTCAACGCGGTGTCGTAAAGGGTCGCTCCTTTTTTTGTTGCCAGCGTCTCATTACATTTTAAATTCCACAGCGTCGACGTAAAGGAGGAGTAGCATCATCTCGGTGGGCGAAGGAGCCACGCACAATGCAGTGCGTGCGTAGTGCAGGAGAATCTGTCCCACGCTTTTCGTCGACGGGCACCCGTGCGCGGCACTGTCAGCGTCCCCAAATTCAAAGTCCATCCCCGGGCAGAAACGAACATAATTCATTCCGCCCCCCCGAGTCTGCTTCGTTGACGTCTCTTTGTTTCCCTTGCGCTGTCTTTGCCTGGCCGGTCGCCCTTTGCCCCAGCAGTTTCCAGCGTAAGTCCGTCACTGGAGTCACCGGAGTGACGGTGTTACCCTCTGACGCTCAGGGCTCGTTCAGAAAGTTGGAGGGAGAGCAGAACGTGCTTGACTTGTTTCGCACTTTTGCGTGTTTTTCCCGCGTTTAAAGTTTGTCATTGAAGTCATGAAATCTTAAAGAAGATTTACAGCTCGGATGAGGTTCCCAGTCCATGCTGAGCTGCCTCTTGAAACAAAGTTGATGAGTGCATTACAGCATTAACCTGTTGCTCGATCACTGGCACTACTATTAGCAATAATAACATTAATAATAGTAATACCATCACAATAAAGTTAATAAAAAATATTAGCAGAGCCGTTGATGTAAAAATTACGAGCATAAAAAAAACATTTCCTTGACTTTTTAAAACCTAAAAAATAACTGTTCCAAGTATGAAAATATTAACACAATTTGAAAAGCACACCTGTGGGAGCTGCAATAAAAAAAAATGTTAATATAAATAACATAAATTGTAAAATAAACATAAAAACGAGTAATAAAAGTACATTAACATCACAGCAGTGCAAGTATAAATAAAGTCACTAGCTGATGGAATAATCACTTTGAAATGAATAGCAATTATAAATAAAACTAATAATGAACACAGCAAGGCAAAAATAATAGCAAGAGTGAAACAACGCAAGACAAAAAAACATTGCCAGCACAAGTGTTTAGGCAATAATATTGAGCGTAGAAATAATGAAGTCTGGCATGGTGGCAGAGGCCTTTCATCCAGCACAGTGGAGGTGGATCTGATAGATGACACAAGGTTTCTGTACATGAGACACCCAGTCTGCTGGGCTGAGAGGTGACCGATACATGGCAGTACAGCAAGTAGGTGGCTGACATAGAGGTACAACTTTTTGAGTCTCTCCACCTGCGTGGCACTTTGGGTGGCAGGTTCGTGCCAAAAAGGTGCCACGTGTAACTCAAAAATAATTTTATTTCACCTGACACCCTAATTCCCTATCACTTGCTGAAATACTTAATCAAGAATTGTCCAAATATCACAATTGGGACCCTGTGAATTGGAATGCTCGCCACGGTGCCACCAAGACCAATATGACTAAAATAGCATGTCTAAATAACAAAGACAGCTGAAAAAAACATAATAAAAGCACAGTTGTGTGGTAAAAGGGATTGTGGAAATCAAGTTAGTGTCTCCCCGCTCAAACGAGTGTTGGATGATGATGGTGATGATCTCCTTTGGGAGCCAGAGGTGTGAATTTCACATTCCCATGGCAATGACAAGTTTATCCTTAGAAACCTCACAGCTGGCTTCCCACAAAGTAGTACCATTTTTTTTGTTATCATCCCTGGAGGGACGATAGTGATGCGGGTGGGCTGAATCGAGAGCCCCGACCAAGCAAGATATGAAGTCGTGATTTGCCGACTGCGAGTTCAGTGCTCTTCCCACAGGGCCGCGTGGTCGGTGAGTTGGGGCGGCAAGAAAACCCGACGTTTTAAACGGAGCAGCACAGTCCAGCAAGGCAGCCAATCGGGTGCTGTGATCACCGACGGTGAAACGCAAGCAGAAATGCGAATGGAGGCCTAGTGACGACCACTGCCGGCGAGAGAGTTAGTGTTACGAGTCGAGGGTTGGGCTAGCGCTAGTTGACTATTTTGTAGGGATGTAATGATTCGCCCCCTCACCGATGATGAATGTTGGACAATTAGGGCAATATATTTTAATTGCCAATCGTTTTTTTTGCCAGCGTGGTACACGGCAGGGTTTCCATGAACCAATCACACACGAGATATGTTAATCGCAAACAGTGAATTGTTATGCTCACGATTCGGTAAACTCTCTTGAAAATAAAATATTTTAATCGACGAATCAATAAATCGTTATATCCCTATTGTGTTTGAGTTCGAAGGAGAGTGAGCATTGTGGCTAGTGTTTGGTTGATTAGTTAGGGTTAGGAATAGCTCTGGAACACGAGTGCCTGGTTGGCTCGAAAGCTCCGACCCCGAACAGTTTTGCCACTCGCTCCAATGGACTAGCGGGGGGGCGCCTTTTCCTCTCCGTTCGCTCTCCACTCCCGCGGCTCACAGCGCGCACGGTCGGTCAGCATGCTCACGACAGGTCCCTCTCCTCCTTGACTTCCATGCCGTCGTCATGGGGGTCCCCGTGCTGCTCCTCGTCGCCGTAGCCGTGGGCGCCGTCCGGGTCGTCGTCGCACAGCTCCGAAGGGTCGTCGCTGAGCGGGAACGAGATGACGCCGTGCTGGTCGATGACGGGGCCCGGCGGCAGCGTGTCGTCCAGGCACACCAGGTGCGGCGCCAGGCGGTAGGCCTCGTGCGACGCGGCACGCTCCGACGGCGGGCCCAGCACGCGGTTGGGCTTGGCGCCGTGACGCGACGCCGCGTCCAGCCGCCGGCAAAGGTCGGTGAGCGCCGGCGTGCGGAAGCGAGGGGGCCGCGCCACCCACACGCCGGGCTCCACGGCGCTGTCCTCCTCGTCCGACATGAGCTCCTCCGTCACGCCGGCCCACAGCTGCTGGTCCTCCGGTGGGAACAGCTTCACCGTTGACGTGCGGTTTCCGAAGAGCTGTGAGTTCCCCACGCAAGCGGCAAAGACAGTGATAGAATAACATGAACAACATGCCGCAAGTGGGGTGATGCTTTAAAAAAAGATAAAAGAAGCCATGTTCTATTCACTGCTAGATGAAGATCTCCCCAAGCCGTCGCCATCTCTCAGTCTCGTGATACGGCAATCTAGCTCCTGCACATGAGCTCATTTAATCGCCCCATCTTCATGGTGGATGTACTCTCATTTTATCTCCTTTGGCTGCTACTCTGACGTTAGTCTGGACCAATAGTCATCCTGTCGTACGCAAGCCCGCTTGTTTTTCTTCACAGTCAATATGAAGTCTCTAACTTGCAATTTTTTCTGAGGTCCTCTTCCTGCCTAATTCCAAGGATGTACCTCTCCATTCGTCTTTTCACACTTTTCACATTTTGTTCCACACTTAACTGCCAGGTTACCAAACAAAACTAAAACTACTCTGTCGGTATTTTTACGTAACGCTTCTTGGTAATGTTGTCCGTTTTTAATTACCACACCCACTGAAGTTGGCTTACAACATCTGCCACATCACCTGTGAATGCCATGATGGAAGCATGCACTTGCTAAGAAAAAGAGTATCTATGGCCGACCCGTTATTACAGTACAGTAATTGTTTAGCCAGGTAAGAACTCACGAGACCAGGATAAGAGTTTCAGGCTTCACCTAAAAGAAACCTCACCACAGAAATTTAGACTGAGGGCATCATTAAGATCGCAGAAGTCCTGGAGCTTCTCTCTGAGAGTGACCCGGATTGGAAGCAGAGCAGCTCATCCAACCTCGTCTCCCACCGCTGCCATGTAGGAGTACAATAGAATGCACTCATGACCATAGTACATAATACTTACTGTTGTTATTCGATACATTGTTTTAGTTATTAAATGTTTAATCTGAATTATTGGATAAATTACTAATCCCCCAATGAAGCCGTCCTATATTGCTCATACGAAAGACATAACGCTGTCAGGAACACATCCCCATATATACAATGTTATAATGACCCCTTTTAACGCTGATTCGATTAGCACTCACTTCCCCAGGAATGCATCTTGAGCGCTAAGCAAGGGTCTCACTGTGTTAGTATTATTGCCAATGTCTGTTGTCTATTAAGGCCAGCAAAGGATGCAAGGCTGTCGTGTGGCAAGAACCCCCCTGCCTCCAGCATGTGTCCGCTTATCACTGCTGTTGAAGAAAACAAAGAAATAAGATAATGCACAGCACAAGCTGCTCCGTTCAGGTCAATGTGACCTGGGAAGGCCAATGCAAGGCACGCACTGTGCATGCTTCAGTTCGCACTGGTGTGCAGCCACAGGTCAGCAGGGTTTTTAGCACACTGTGTCAACAACACAGCAACTTGTCCCAACCATGAACAACAAACGTTACAAACATATCTGGCATATTTGACATATTATAAAAAAAACCCTCCTTTTCATCTTGGGCAGACTGCCTGTGTCTATTGCTATGAGCGAAGAACTTTTAAGATCGGCACTTGCACATGGTGGAGTGGTGTGACCAACACCACAAACGCCATCCTCCCTTGGTCTGGAACATGTCAGTGATGACATATCACCAGCGGATACTAACTTTGTGATGAGTCATCCTAGGAAAGGATGGCTTTGATTAGGAGAACAATTCCCACAACTGTATTTGTGTGACCTAGAAATGAACCTAGATGACTGGCGATAGCAGCATATTATGCTAACCAGTGAAACACACACACACAAAGTCATACAAGTACATAAAACACAATTAACATTTTGACAGTTCATCCACTATACTTGTTACGTGCCTAGCACTGTACACATTACTGGAATTGCAACACTCGGATTCAGACGCAGGATGTGAGCCAGGACATTTTCTGTTGACACAGTCACCTATTGAGCAGGTGTGCCCTTGTGAAAGTCACAACCGAAAAGAATTTAAGTCCTTCTGAGTCTGAAAGAGAAGTGCACAGATGCCAAGCTCCAACACTTATTAACCTGACACGCAAACACAATGGAGAGTGTATACACGCATACAGAGATCAACAGCTTAGTCTTACTGTCTGTTATCAAGCACGAAGAAATAATGGCATGGAAATATCTGACCACGAAGTTGAGTCTTCAACCATGGTAATTTAATCTCCGGACGTTTCAAAAGCCAATCATTCGACCTTGAAATCCTGCCAGGCCATGCGCCATTACGCAGGGTTAACTGCTCAGGTGTTCCTGATAATGCCCATGCTGATGTAGTACATGGCCATGAACTGAGTCACCGAACCCATACAACGGTTCAATAACCACAACACCACAGTGGTTATTGTTAGTGTTCCAGTGACCTAACAAGCTATAGGGGGTGCTAACTTATGTTGGTCATGCTTAGCCATTGGTGGAAATGCAACATTCCTATGAAAAGGACCAATTTTAACCCACTTCCCAATGTGGTATCGACTGCAAACTTGGTATACTTATGTCATACTGATGACAATACTATATTCTATCATAAAAATACAAAATATAAATTTTTAAACATTATGTTTTATATGTTATGTTTCGGCTTGGGTCTAATTGTCCACGGTCAACTAACGTTGGCTGTAATTACCCACGGTCCCTTACGTTATGTCCCACGCTTTTATTTTTAGTCAGTTACAATAACAGTATATTAAACATATATAATGCAAAGTACTTGAACATCATTTTTTTTACATTTTAGTACATTTCATAAAAGCGTGTTTTTAAAAAAGTTTTTTTAAATATATATTATTCCAGGTCAAATCGCTGTTCACTTCCTACCAAGTTGTGCAGCCCCACCACGTGATGCTCATGTTGGATGAACCACGGATTGACAATGGATGGCGATGATGAGACCTAATTGAGCTTTACTGGGATTTTAACTGAAACTATATTAGTGGCACTTCTACTCAACCAACAGCCGAGCCATATCCCAGCCATGCACTGCGTTTCGTTGTTTATTAGCCTCAACGTACCCACCAATAGGAAACAATTAACTTTCCGTCACATTCACTGACAAGGAATTATTACTACAAAATCCAAAACAAAGGCAGATGAGCCATACATGCAGCACAAATCTGCAATTATTGTATTTCCTGTTTGTATTGCAAAGTGCTTTGGATTTAAGCATTCAAGAAATGAAAATCCTCACGCTTTATTATTGTAATGCAGTTTAGAGTGGTTGTCCAACAAAAGGACACTGTATAAACATGAAATATAATTCCGCTATGTACACAACATCTGCGAGCCAAGGCGGGCGCGGAACCCGTCTGCCCCGTTTTCGCGCACACAATGCCTGGGGGCTCTCCTACCCGATATCGCCGGCTTCTCAGCTTCTTCTCCTCCCTTTCCCGCAGGCTCCGGTCCGGGTTTTGGGAGTTGCGGTACTCGCGCCTCTTGGTCAAGAAGTACGACACGCATGCACCTGTCGGATTTCAAGGCACGCAAACGGTTAGATTGGGTTTCTCACGCGTCGATGTGACTGCACCTCGCACACGCGTAGCTGAACGTGGCACCGAAGTCTAAACGATGAAACCGCGAGAGAAATCAAGTGCCCAAATTGTGTTACTTTCATTTAAGAACAACTCGATTAGGTCGCATATCAGGTGGCAGCTCAATCGGAACTTCACACGTGCCGAATGTTCACTTCAAATACTTGTTGATACCTGACTAAAATACCTCTCTTCTCCTCTCATCTCACTCTAGTCCCCTCATGCCCTAAACTCCCACAAGCAAGCCCTCCCCTGTCTTGACACCCAGTCAACCTCCTCTTAATGGGAGGTCGCCACTGCTCTGCTGCCCCTCTTGTCTGAAACTCCATCCCCTCAGCTATCTAGAGTTCACACTGTCACTCCTATTTAAATCCAGGTGTTGGATTCTCCTCTTTCTCCTCCACTAAGAATTTCCTGCCTTCCTCCATGTTTTCTATGCAGGCCCGGACTGGCCATAGAGCAGTCAGGGCAAATGCCCGTGGGCCGGTTCATTCCGAGGGCCGGTCTGTGTGGGGAAATTGCAAATGTGATCAGAGTAAAGAAAATATGATTTCTTATTCATTTAAACATTTTATTATCTCGAATGTGTACACTTCATTGCTTATTTACACTCTCAGTTGGCATTAAGTCCCATATTTGGCAGCCACAAAGATTCTTCCTCACTGGCCCATTTTTTTTTTTGGACCAGCCAAAATGGACCAATGAGATCGCACGCCAATATCACGATCATACGTCACATCGCAAATCTAGCTACTTCACAGCCCGAATTTGAGCTGGTGTGTTTACAAATGCCTGGACCCATTTTTAGTCCGAGTTTGTCACTGCTTCTGTGCCATTATTACTAAACAATAGCCATTTTCTTCTTTCTGTTTTCTACTTCCATACATGCTCTCTCATTTACCCCTTTCAATGGAGTTTCCGCCGACACATCCGCTATAAATCCAGTTAAACTGTCGAGTCTTGAGATGAGGTTGAATTTAAACTCTTTACTAATTAAAATGGCATAACAACACATCTCATAACACTGCCAAACAGAACTTAATTTAAATCGCTCGGCTCACGGAAGCCAGAAAAGAGTACTATCAACCATCTCGGCTTTCCAGCTTCAGTAACCGACGCATGCCATCAGTGAACACTACACCTCACCTTTCAACTCCTTCTCCGTGTAGTGTTGGTCTGCCAGCTCTTCCCGTAGTCTCTCCAGCAAGTACCGCATCACAGTGATGTTCCAGCCAGACTTGAGTCTGCAGCACACAACAGCACACACAACAGCACACACGACAGCCTCGATTGCAGTCCTTGCTCGTGTTGCACCAGCAGCAGGGTTTTTATGCAACGGTCCTGACTAAATATTTCTAACACTCGTGGCTGCAGAGAAATTAAGCAAGAAAAAAGAAAAACGTGAAAAATGGAATTTAATTTTAAAAACTAGACGTGTTTTACACTTATTAGTTGTGACACTTGCGAGCTGCATCTGGCTACCCCTAGGACTTAATTGAGAAATTATGAACGAGATTAGTTGACGAGTTATGGGTCTTCCACTGTAGCAATACGAGAAAACTGGCTACGTGAATGAAACAGGTACATCAGTTTTGATTTAAAGCTTTCGTGACTGCAGGGATTCATCTTCTTGGTTCTTTCGGTAAAGTCACGTAGTAGGGAAGTAATAAATTAATAAAAATAAAACATAATAAAACAATTCTCACGACGTTTCGGCTGCTTGCGTTGTGGCCGAAACATCGTGAGAATTTTTTATTATGTTTTATTTTATTACTTCCCTACTACGTGACTTTACCGAAAGAACCAAGAAGAGGTACATCAGTTGTTGCATCTGAATGCCATGGAGAATGGCTGAATATCTCGTGCATCTTAACTCCTTACTGCTCTTTATAAAGGGAAACTACTCCAATGACACTGCACTCTGTCCGAGAAGAGTGCATGGTGATTCCGACATAGGCCAAAAGTTTTTAGTAATATTTTAAATTACGGGGAATGCAGTAATGTAAGGTGAACACCGTGCAATAATAAAACCATTCAACGCATGCACACCAGTCAATGTGTGTGTGCCTGCTCACTGTTTAAGCACACATTGTTGATTTTTAAATGCTATTATAACATCTAGCAATGTATGTTTATATCAGATATTTATCCAGCGACACAGGAATTTGTAAGACACTTAATCATGAAAATTATGCTTGGGATTGTATACTAATTCCTTGGTATATAATGTTGTGGACCTAAGACTTAAAATATCTGGCCAAACAGCACCGTTGGTACAGTGTGTCTCTTTTTAAAATAGGTTGCAAGTTTCAATTCCAATTGAGGGTAAACTCAGGCCTTCATACCTTCCAGAGTAAAACAATTGTATTATCACTTTGTGGAACCCCAACTGTGGTCATCCACGAACCCAGCCCCACCTTACATATGGACGTGCGCGCCTGTAATCCAGCACCCTGGAGGCAAGGATTGATCGAACACACAAGGTTGTCAAACTTTCAAACATGCTGGAATGCAAGGTGGCATAAAAATGGCAGTAGAGCAATAGAGTTGTGAGCCAAGCTGTGATCGCTGTCCACTCATATACTTGGAAGTTTTCTTCCTCCGGTTTTCCTCCCATACAAAAAAAACTTCCCTTAACGAAATTGTTCACATTAAATGATGCCTAAAACTTTGATAAAGCAACAATGCAATTTGATGCAAGTTTGTGGCTCATAACAGCACATCAATTTTCATAACAATAAAAAAGGTGTATAGCTTGCTCGTTTAAGGAATACATGTGCACATGCAGAACTGCAAAGACTGGTCATCTTAGTGCCACCCCAATGAGCAATGAGTAATTGGGTGGGTCTGTATTTGCATGTGTAAACATACAACTCAAGCCCAGTATTAGTGCTAATCCTTGTCATTATAAGAGAGATTTACTGTGCTCAGCTTCGGGAGTATCACTATACCTTAAGGAAAATGAATTCCAAAAACCAAATTATTCTTTATCTTGTAGATACAAACCTGGTTGTGTGTCCCATTCTGTCTCGCATGGGATTAACGTTCCGATAATGTATGTATGTTGAACTTCTTTCGCCACCGTACTTAGCCAACTGAGCTAATCGGAGCTAAACACATAAATGAGAAGACTCGATTGTAAATTGACCTTCCAGGCCATGCTATCACCTGGCTCCAGTGGCTAAATGCAGTGACACTTTATGAAAAAGCAAAGCAGTCACGCTCACGTGATGTTATTAGAGTGTTAAGTCAACACTTATGAAAGTCACTTTCGAAACTTTGTTTTACATTACCAAAGCCTTCAACCTCTCTCTATAGGTCAGACAGCCTGGAACACACAGGTATTGCTTTTTCGTGGTTGCTTCTTCATGACATATGAATACACCCCTTTGCAGTCCATTGCTTTGGGATTTTACAACCATATTTCACCACGGTGGTCAGTGGGGGTTGGTGAAGGTGTGTAGCCGACGTGGAGAGCGTAGAGGTACTGCAAACAAATGCATTGCTGCATTTCCCTCTCCTACCCACCACATAGCCCAGTGGCCTATAACACCTATTATGCATGGCGGTGACCAATCCGAGCACTACCGGGGGTCAACACACTTCACATAAATCTGTACAATGAGACACGCGTAATTTTTACTTCACCAAGTAGTACTTTTTCTGAACTCGTGTATCCTTTAAGTTGCGACCGCTGGTAAAAACTCACCCTTCGGCCCCGTTAAACCTCCGGTCGTTGCCTTGCTGGTTGTGGATCCGATGAACCAGTTTCTGTGGAACAAACAGCAGCAGCAGCAGAGGCACTGCATGAACATTGACCCAACCAGGTAGAAACGAAAGTCAACACAAAAGTCAAAAACGTTCGCGACTCAAGGAAGCGAGCTGTCGATACCGTCTTCGCCCGCCATTCGATGGATCGAAGAAAAACTCTCGACTTTTGAATTTTATTTCCTATATAAGAGGCACCGAGACCACCACCATTTCTAGTGTTGGGTCACTTGAAAAAAAATTATTCCATGATTACTCATTTCAAGGTTTAAAAATTATTATGATTACGTGATTAGTTTTAAAACTGCTTACACGTTAACAAATATGAAGTTGATTTAACATGAAAATAAATAACACGCCTTTATGGTAAACACTGTTAGAACATTCCCACTTTGTGTTTTTTCATCCTGGATCCTATGTCCTCATTATAAAGTCTCAAAATATATCAGTCTGATAAAAATGACAGCCAAGCGAGAGTGCACTGCAATATGTTGACACAGCCTTCTAACGTAATCCATGTGCACTGGATGTCCTGCAGTCCTTGTATGAACTAATTGCTAACAAGATCACTTTTTTTTTTCAAATTGAACAGTGCTATAAAAATGTATCAGGCCACACGAAGTAAAAAAAAAAACATTTAGTACATGCTGCAAAGTGAGTTATAATATGACACTGGTGTGCAGCTACAGTGATTATTACACTGCACTAACAACCTGCTCACCCGAGTTAAATTCCTAGCCACGGCTAACAACCTGGGCACTGGCTCACCAACCTGCACTGACCAGCATGGTGAAGTAAGATGAAACAACCCGAATGATCGACCGGACTTGGAAAGGCCTTCGCCCAGCGGTGAATTGATGAAGTGCTGTAGCTGTTCGAGGTTTATTTCGTCACTATCAGTACCGGCTACGTAATTGCAGCATGTATGTAAACATAAGCCACTTTGTGAAGCGATAATTTGTGGCAAGGTCGCTTATGAAAAATAAGTTATTACCTCAGTAGGCTTTTACTAGTAAGTAAAATTTACTTTAGTTTTGTGTATATTTTGAAGTGATTTGATTACCTTTCCTATACTTTGCACCCCTATCGTGTTTTTGTATTGTAACGTTCTGACTCCTTACTGGAAATCTGTGGAAAAAGAGATTTAGAGTTCATTGGATTCCACCATTATATTCTGATTGTGTTGAACTTCTTTCGCACCGTACGTAGCCAACCACGGCGCGCCCACTGACCGACACGACGAGGTCCCTCTTCCTCCGCCTTGTGTTGTTGCTGTGCAAGCTGCTACCGCTGCCTCCACTGCCCCCGCTGCCCCCGCCCCCACTGCGCCTGTGCGATCCGAACGAGGACGATGACGAGCCCATGTTTCCGCGTGCCCGCACGCGGCGCGACGTCGACGACGACGAAGACGCCGCCGCCGCCGCCACCGCCGCCGCCACCACCGCCGCCGCCACCTGCGGCAGCGGCGCCGGAGTCGAGGCGGCGGTGGGTGCAGACGTGGGCACGGAGGAGCCGGGCACCGCCGCCGCGGCGGCACCGTGGTGGTGCCCGTGGTGGTGCCCGTGGTGGTGATGGTGGCCGTGCGGCGCCGGCGGCGTCATGGCGTGCGATGCGCCCAGCCCCGCCGCCTCGCCATCCCAGCTCTCGCCGTAGTCGGCGTAGCAGTGGGTGGCGGCGGAAGCGTCGGCCCCCGGCCCACCGTAGCCCTGCGCCGCCTGGTGGAAGTCGGCCATCGAGTCCACCGAGTGGAAGTCCTTCATGAGGTGGGGCTGCTGAGAGGCATCGGCCGCGTGCGAATCCTTGGCCGCGGTGGAGGTCTCCGGCGAGCTCGAGTAGACGCCGCCCGAGTCTGGACACCCGCACGGCGGCACGCGGCACGTCAACGCGGGCGGCTGTCCCTGTTGCTGCCGCTCGGCTGCTGCCCTCATTGCCCCAAACCACCACCCGCTCGCTGGTGGTTGGCATTTACAATGTATTTATTCTGCTCTTAGAGGTTTACGTCCTTCTCCTGGTCATCTTTGCACGTTTCTCCCTGCCCAGTGTTTTCATTTTCATCAAAAAACATTTTGTAGTCTTTCCCTCATCACATATATTCTCATACCCCTCACTCACTCCTTACGGAATATAATCTCTTAGGACTTAATACAAAAGAATACCTACATTTCTCAAGCTTAAAAAATGTGCATGTCTTCTCAATTTGGACAAAATCTTTAAACATGGTGATACCTGACATTTCATTATATTGTAGAATTTACCATTTAGTGAAACTTCAGTTTCGATAGTTACCCAAGGAATTATTCCAATTAAATGCACTTTACCATTTTACCATCATTCACAGGTCCAAGTGTGCTGATGCCTTTTCTCAAATCTCATATTTAATTATTACCCACAATTAAATTGGAATCTATTCACAGATTTTCTTTTGGTAACTCTCTTCATTCCAAAATAATGAATATCAATCACCTCTCACCTGGTGAAATAAACAACAAACACTCTTTACACTAACCAATTTATCAAGTCTCCCTTCTCAGACAGCTCTTGTATGTTTACATAATGAATATCAATCACAATAAGTGTACCAAAATATTAAACGAGCTTACAAAAACCAAGAACACCCAGTTCAGCTCGCAAAAAGTATAAATCTTGAACTCTTGGCAGACTAAATAAGGGAAAGACAATTAAAAACTGGTACAAAACTATAATTCTTGGAATGCTATAGTGGAGTAATGGTGACCATGCTGGAGTTGTCATGCAGAGGTTGCCGGTTTGATCTCCCGGCGTAGCAGTTGAGACGACGGTGAAAGCATTTACACCATTGGAACCTCATTTGCCAGTAAAAAAGAATACAAATAATATGATAATTGTTTTTTTACCCTTCTATCTGGCAACAAAACTGACACCTTTTTTACAAGGAGTCATGTTTGCATAGACCACAATACCTGCAGTCATAACGCCTTTTGGCATCATCTGGTCCAACCCATGTGAGACTAGGTTCTAAGGAAGCTGTCTCGGGTGTGGACCAATCAACTTCAAGGACAGTGCACATTATCAGAGTTATTTTTTTGTTTGCATTATGACTGCAGGTATTGTGGTCTATGCAAACATGACTCCTTGTAAAAAAAAGGTGTCAGTTTTGTTGCCAGATAGAAGGGTAAAAAAACAATTATCACGACAGTGAAAGTTTCTTAACTCCCTGTTGCTGCCTCTGTCCAGCCGGCAGGAGCAGCGGGTGAATCGCAGTCAATCGGCGGGCCGCTTTTGAGAAGATAAAAATATGGGTACGCCCACCAATTCCAAGATATATCTGGCCAGCGTGGAAGAGTAGGCCAAGTACTCTCTGGAGAGGCTCTCTCGAGGTCGGCCTCCTTCCTTTCCACCAGCAGTGACGTGAGCAAGGAATTGCAGAGATGCACCTTTGTCTTTTAGAAAACTATTCTTACCATTTATACTATATCAAACGTGAAGTGTGCGTGCTCGTTGTAACATACACCAATTGTGTGCACACTTAAACAGTCTACAGAAATTTATGTTAACAATAGGAAACTAACAAAAGAGTGGTTTATGGAAAAGTCAAGGGCATCTGGAATGCATTGGCTCTGTGCCCTTGGCTGTCGTACTCCCACGACCATCGGCACATGAGAGCGTCAACAATCATGAGTTCACATGTCCAATGCGTTCCCCTCCGAGTCAAGGAACCTGCAGTAAAAGCATGCCAATTCCCTCCCTTTATTGCGTCCATTAATTTGTGCAGAGCAGGACGGCCGACTGCAAGAGGTCTGCCCATAAATTAATTTTTAAAGTCCCGCCACAGTTTATACTGCTCGTGATTATGCATCCGCCATTGTACGTCTGAATTTGTAAATAAGAGAACTGAACCACCATGCCGGTTAAACAAAAAATTCAGTAAGAAAATGTGTTGACTGGGTATTGTCCAAATTCATTTAACAATAATATAAATAAGAAAAAGATGTTATTCAATGGTTGTTATTCAACCAAGTTGGAAATTATTTTATTGTAAGAACACACTTACATTTTATGGGTTTTTTTTCATAAAGCGCACTTGTCAAGTTTGTTTAAAGATTTGCTGAGGGTTTCTGCAGTTGTGCTGTTTTTGGGTCATAACACACACAATATGACGCGGAAACACATCTGAGAGGAATTCATTGCAATTTTCCTGACCAAATAAATAATTTTCATTTTTTTGTATTATTATATACTGTATGTGCGTGTGATGAGCTGAAAGGCCATTATGGAATTTTCCTTCGAGATTTCATACACGTTTTACATGCTGTAAATATTAATTCACAGTTGATTTGGGGTTTGTGCCACAACCCGAATCCCAGAAGTGGAAATAATTCATGTTAATTATTATTTTTAAAATATATATGATTTTTTTTTATAAACTGTCTCTAAGTAATATATGGTTACATGGGTGAGTAAGATAACACTGGTCAACAAAAAAAAATTCTGGCCTGGACTTTTGCAGCTGTTTTAGACTAATTTCAGGGTACTGATTCCAAATCTGATCTCAGATTTGCTCTATCACATCTCTTTTTTATGCTATCGGCATACCCCATTTTCATTGATTTTACCAGAAATTAACTCTGTCACTTATAATTGCAAGTTGTTGCGAGTCAGTGACTATTTTAGTGTTAAAATATGGTGCTGTATTTTTAGGATAGTGTGTTTATAATATCATTTTATGTAGATATCCACATTTATTTAATATTTTTCTTCTGCAGTTTTTATTGAAAATGCAATATTTGATATCTCAAAAAAAAACTGATGCCAGATTTGGAATCAGCACCCCAAAATTACCTTAAAACCGTTGGAATACCTTATGCCAGAAAAAGTGTGTTGACCAGTGTAATGAATCTGAATGGGCTCTCACCTCTGGTTTAAGGACGTAAATCAACAAATCAATACCATATAGGAACCTCTACAAGAGCTATCAGCTATGAGATCCTAGAGCTTCTAGAAACCCTTCATCAAGACAGCCACTCTAGTAAATTTGGGATGTTTCTTCCCACGATTTTTAGAATTCTCAACATGTTTCTGGCTTAATAAAATCATTCTCACGACGTTTCGGCCACAACGCAAGCAGCCGTCCTCAGGTGAAACCAGGTCTGTCGAGGCGACAGCGTCTGAATGAAACAGCACACGTGCTTGGAGCATATATATTGCGTTGTGGCCGAAACGTCGTGAGAATTATTTTATTATGTTTTATTTTTATTATTTTATTACTTCCCTTCTACATGACTTTACCGAAAGAACCAAGAAGATGAATCCCTGCAGTCACAAAAGCTTTAAATCAAAATGTCTCTGGCTGTTTTGAATTCTTCACATGTCCGCTAAACTACAATATCATTACATAATCATTCGATTGCCTCCATGTTTTGGGTATTTTCACGTAACCTTAATAACCATTGAATACGAGTCTCAGTTTGTGACACATTGAGTCTTACAAATCCTAATATGCTACAGTTTGGATCTTGAGTATTTCCATTGAGCTTTAAAAAACATAATTACTTCTTAGTTTGATATCACACCATATGATCACACTATTATCAGACACCGCAAGTGTGTGCATAGCATTAGTGCTTAATATCATGAATTATTAAGCGCCAAGTTGTAGCTTCATCTCTTCGTTCCCATTAAAAACGTGAATCACGTTTATAAGGGGATATTTAATTTTGACATATTCAAGATGACCGAAGCATGACAATAAACGGGAATCCAGCGAGAGGAATGGCAATGCTAGTGGACGGTAAGAGAAACATAGTACGACTGAAAACATTACTGATGGAACGGATGAGGAGGAGGCATTAAGAGTGGACAGGGAATAACACAGAAACATCAGCAACAGATGGGATATGATGACAATTGGCAACAGTGGAAAACTTCTGCGGAAAGTTCGGGGACCCAGTGGCGTCCGTAAAGAGGCTGGACATGAGATTAAAGAAGAGAGATGTTTTAATATAAAAAAACTGATGCTAATAATACTCTTATTCGGTGGACTATTAAAGCAGCATCTGCTCTACTCTGATACTGTGTTTATGTTGGTTAGCCATTTAATTGTAGAGACGTTTTTACGATATGTATTCCTAAAATGTATGCTGGCAGTGAATCTTTGCTGAAGACACAAATAACAATTTTATTACATAATTTATGTTGTCAACCACAGCATAAATTACGCTTCTCTGTCACAATAAACTTTTTCCAATAACAATTGGAACACATTCCCTAACCCTAATATTAAGTCAGAGTCAAGCATCTCTTCACTCAAATGAACTTGGAAGGTTCTCCCAACCTGTGCTGGCAGCCCTAAGCCAGTAGATTCATTTGTACGTTCCTATTGTGGGGACCAATCTCTCCACAGGACAACCACTGATGATTTCCTACACAGTTGATCATCTGACCCCTTCAAATGTGAAAGAATATGAACTCACAACTTTCAGATTGTAAATCGAGTGCATTTGCCACAGCAATACCCAACCAGTGTTAGGGGTTGAATAGTAGTAATTGCACGAGTGAAGGTAAAAATAGAGGGGCGAATGCTAGGGCAAGAGTTTGCGCTAAAATCAATGATGGATTCCTTGGCCAAGGCGAATTTCAAAGAAGAGCCATAACAGCTACTCTCTTGCCAAGTCCAGAAGTCAGTAATGCACCTGGGGAATAATAAATAACAGCAGGAGCAGGAAGATGAATTTTTATTCGTTGGGGGGGTGGTGTTGGGTGCTGCTCCAAGACTCGGGAAAACCGATGAACACTGTGAGAGTTATGTGTATCATGGGAGGTTCTGGGGTGATGGAGGATGGCTTGCGTTTGAATAAAACGAGAAGGGCTGGTGGGTAGGCACCGCGTTGAAATGTGGACTGGGGGTTTGAAAGAAGCATTCCAATCTCTGGTCCTGGGGGGACACTGCCAGTGTAAGTCACCGTGATAAAGGTGGGGTCATGAAACAACGGATGACATATATTGACCACAGCACTGAACCGCCCACCGCCAACTAAAATCATGCAACTGTGCAAACAGCGTTACATACTCGAATCAGCTTCAATGTTTTAGCTTAAGTACAATGGCCTTTATGTAGCCAGGGAAACTTTAAAAGGATATTTTAAAAAAAAACATATATACTTATCCAGGAAAGGCTTGCATTGAAATATTTGGACAATTTATATGAAGCATGTGGAAAGAATCAAAGTACTCAGAAAATACACAAATATGAGAATATAACACAAGACCATAAATGGGTCACAAGCCCTATACAGTATATGTATGTATATCTCTTGGCCACCTCAGAGCTAGCGATTTTGGAGGCTCAGTAAATCACGAAATAGGTGCGATCCACTAACACTGCCTCCAAATCATGTATATATAGTCCATCCATGGCTATTTAGTTTCATAATTCAGGTTCAGAAATGTCCTGCATTTAAATGTTTGGCCAATTCCTTTCTAGTAAGTATTTTGCATTACTTTTTTAAGAAGCAAAGCCATCATTTAAGTCACAAGTGTGAGCTAAATTACATAGCCATCTTTTACACAGCCAACATTGGACTCTGCTTGCATTCCTTATTCAATTGTAAGTGATTAAGAGCATGGATAAATAACATACTAAGGATGAAAAATTGGTTGTTTGCAAAGCATTTTGGAACAACTCACCATACCTTACAAGCCTAAGAGAGAGTATGTATACACACTGCAGCCCAATTTTGCCACTAGTCTAGAAGTTTGTACGCCATGTTCAATGTCAACCGTATTGTTAACTATGCACATCATACAATTACGTAATCCCTATATACAGAGTTTGAAATATTGGTGCCGATCTAAAGAATCATGATTATTGCCGTATCACTGCCCTGACACTGCCCTCGACCCAGAAATTATTGTATAACCTTCAACAATGTGAACCGATGCTCATGGTTACATATTTTTTGCAGAAAAACCCACTTTTTGTGTTATTTGTGTCGCAGCAGTTAAATCAGTGACTGATTTCAATCATGAAAACTAGACTCAATCACTGGTTGTTTGGTTCCATAGCTGGCTGATCTATGGACAGTATAACTTCATTCAAATATCTGTCACGATATCAATTTTAGTAAAACAGTGAATTGATCGGTTGAACTTTAAAATTATGAAATATTAATACATTTTTATTTCCACTCTTGATAGATTTTCTGATCCAATGGTGAGATTATGAACAATTAATTTATTTACTCAACAGCTAGTGGGACTCATATCAATCAACAGTTCTAGATTTGAAGCATTCGTGACTGCAAGGATTCATATTCTTAGGTTTTTTCGGTAAAGTCACGTAGGTAAAAAATGTAAATTAATAAAAGTAAAATAAAACAAAACAAAAAAATCACGACGTTTCGGAAGCAACACAAGCCTCCGTCTTCAGCTGTCGTGGCTGTGACGGTTCCACCTGAAGACGGAGGCTTGTGTTGCTTCCGAAACGTCGTGATTTTTTTCATTTTGTTTTATTTTACTTTTATTAATTTAATTTTTTTACCTACGTGACTTTACCGACAGGATCAAGTGGAATGAGCAAGGTCGGTCGAGTCAGGTGATTTAAGTCACGTTGTTGGAATCAGGTAAAATGAATCAAGTGGCACGAGTCATGTGGTTAAGTTGAGCAGGTTTGAATAATGCGATTGGGTAAGGTGATTTAGGTCACATGACTTATCGCATAGAAGTCAGGTGGGTAGGATAGGTGGTATTGGGTCAAGTGGCTGCAGTCATGTCGCAAATTCAAGACGTCATGATCAGGAAAATTACATCCAAGTTTTCATATAATTGTGATCAGGTGGCAAGCGCGCAATCTTCTATGGCGTCACATCGAAAGCCCGGGGAGGTGTAGAGAGACAGCGCGCCGTACTTGCGTCCCGGTAGTCGGCCCCATTGGAGTACGCATCGTGCGTCGCCGCACCGCCGTACGCCTGCTGCTTGAGTGCGCGCAGCTCCGCCTGCACCGCCTGCAGGGCTCGCGCATTGGCCCGCTGCGCGAGTGCGGCTGCCTCGGCCAGCGACACGGCGCGGTCCACTCGCTGGTAGATGAGGTGAAGCAGGTGCTCGGGGTTCGACGGCAGGACACCCTGGCCTCTCACGGGCACAGGGGCCGAGTGCTGTTGCTGCTGCTGCTGTTGCGCGCCCGCCGACACGTCTGCCACAGACGGGCCCGTCAGCGGCGTGCGGTCGCCGCCAAGAGCCCCGGCGGCAGAGGAGGACGGCGTCACGGACTGCGTGGCGTTGAACATGGATGTGCCACCTCCACCGGGCGGAGTGAACACAATGGTTGCACTGAAAGACATCGTTTCCTCCTCGCCCTGCCAAGGGGGGCACAGGGTGACGAGGGAAAAGTCACATAATGTTTGTTATATTTTAATGGGCAACGTATGCATGTTAATTCACGAGGTGTCTCCCTTTATTAATGGGCGAATGAGAGCCCTGCACTGCTTGCTCACACCACTGCTGGCAAACGGGCCTCCACTAGGGGGAGCTTTAGAAAGCCTCTCTTGAGGATATTCCACGCCAACCAGGCATATTGTGAGTGGTGGGAGTAACCCACACTGCATCTCACCACCTGATAATTGACTTTAATCTGGTGTTCCAATGTATTTGTGATTCATCAACACGAGTGCAACACGTGCTCACATGGGCCTTAAATGCAACAGTGGGCCGTGGTCAAAAAAATCCTGATTCACTTTAACCTTACCACATGTGAAAGCATGTTTAAGCAGCGTATCATAACAGTTTACGTATGTGTAAAATTAATGTCACACAGGTAATTTCTAATATACAGGACAATTGTCCTTAAATATCTAAGAAAGCCTCCTTGAGTCTCAAAACACTAAATTTGCAGGTGGGTTCTGCATTGGCACATTTGGCCAATTCTGTTTTAAAAAAGTGCTTGTGGTGTGTGCATTGCTAACATGTGGCATGTTAACATTGGACAATCCGCTGGGCATCACCGTTAAATTCAAACAACGAGTTACTGGCGTACTCGACGCATGAAGGACGCCGTACAACCACATTAGGTCGGGATTGTTGTATCGTAATTCTAGATTTGAAGCTTTCGTGACTGCAAGGATTCATACTCTTAGGTTTTTTCGGTAAAGTCACATAGGTAAAAAAAAAACATTTAAAAAAAATAGAAAAAATTATTATTTTATTTCTATTATTTTTTACTTATTTATAAAATATTAGAAATAATAATAGAAATAATTATTATTTTACTTCTATTATTATTTATATTATTGCGTATTTGTAATTTTTTATTACTTATTTATAAAATATTATAAATAATAATAGAAATAATAATTATTTAATTTCTATTATTTCTAGTATTGTTTAGTATTTACTTTTATTATTTATTTATAAAATATTAGAAATAATAGAAATATTCTTTTATTTCTATTATTATTTATATTATTTTGTATTTATTGTTGTACCGTACTCATGAATCGCGGGCGGGTTCCTCGCCGATTGATTGACAGGCGAGTTGTCAGTAATCTGATGTCACTGTCGCCTCACGTCCCTCTTAACGCCACATTTTACCTCACAGTTTCAAAAACACAAACCAGCCTATTGCACAAAACGTTTAAGGGTTTAAGGGGGTGGGGAAACAACAGCACAAGCAAATGATGCATAAGTTTTGTTTATCATTATAGGCGAATGTGGATATTTTCTAGAATCGTGTTTGCGAAGCGCTCCCCCCCATGTGCCGCGCCGTCCCCTGACTTTATTAGAAAGCGCCTTAACTATTAACACTCTTGCAAGTATATAACAGATACGTTTCGCGTACGTGTTCTCGCACAGCAATGACTGTAAAAGAATAGAAAAAATTAACCGCGTTTTTTTTTAATATCGCATTACAAAAACGCGTTTTATTTAGTTGAGTCGATGTTGTTTTGAACGTCGCCGCTTACCGTAGCTTCGCCGCGTTGCGCAATCACCGCGAGGACTACCTCAAGCCTCGGGCTCTGATTGGTGTAAAAGCGCGGGAAAGTGTCCTCGCCCCCACCAGGTTCAATCGAACACCCCCTCCCCCCGCAAAGCAATGATCGATCCACTGCTGGATATTTAAGACCGAAACAACATGATTTATCCACAAATCAGACTAACGCCTGATGATGCTCGTTGCAATTATTGGTACTCAAATTGTAGTAAATGTTGTGGATTCGCTCTCCGACACACCGGTGTGCTGTACTCGTTCCGTTTACGTGACAAACCTTAACTACTAATTGACTGTGACGGGTTTAACGACACTTTCATGTACGCAATCGAACCTAACAAAAAAGACCCCCCCCCCTCCATCTATTATGGATAAGGTCTCAGCTTGTAGCAATCTTTCTCGTGTGTGGCCTTCAACCTCGGATGGTGGACGGGCTCGCACACGTGCGTTCGTGCCACCTTTGGGGCCACGTTACAGCACAGTATAGCCACCAACAACCAAATTGCGTAATAGTCCAGACGGTATTCCTAATTTTTCGATTTGAAGCTTTAGTGACTACAGGGATTCATATTCTTGGTTCTACGTGACTTTACCGAAAGAACCAAGACGATATTCAGAATGTTCCACGTGGCCCTCTGTGTCTCAATGCAACCCCCCCAAGCATGATTCTCTCCGTGCTGTGAAAGTCGCTTTGTTAAACTGAGTTTATTATGACTCTTAGGTTCTTTCGATGAAGTCAAGTAGGTAAAAAAAGAATAATGAATGAAAATAACTACATTATTTTATTATTTTAACCTACGTGAAAGAATACTACTAAAATAATAAATGAAAATGTCATTATTGCGTTATTTTTATAATAAAATAACTAAATTCTAAACTAAATTACTATTTTATAATAAAATAACTAAATTACTATTTTATTTTTACCTACGTGACTTTATCGAAATAACCTAAGAGTATGAATCCTTGCAGTCACGAAAGCTTCAAATCTAGAAATGAATTTATTATTATTTTTCGCACACTTTTCGGCTTTTGTTTAGCTTTATCCGCACACGTCAGTCATAAATAAACCTACACAAAATTCATCGTCTTCTATGTGCGTTAGATCTACATGTTCCCCGGGCTGTGGTGAACATTCGAAGCTTCCTGAACGATACAATTTTAAACAAATGATGCACCTGCAATTACTCTGTAAATGCTTTCCAACAAACGCGTGTCCTGATCAGCTATTGTGTCCCATTTGCTACATAGCACATCTCGTATAGCAATACAGCTTTACACTCAAATCATGTCCTTTTATCCTGGATCAATCTCGACGAGAACCCACAACTACCATCATCAGACAGGATGCTTTTCAACCCTATTCGGGAAGCATTAAGAACACCACGGTAGTGGTTAAGCGCGTTGATTGCAAAACGTTTCAAAATACAGTACAACTTGAAAGTGTACGTTTTTTTGTTATATAAACTTAACGAAGCTTCAAAGTCATCTTTGTAGGATATAACCGGCACATATTGCCTCGGTGTATGGCTGGCGAGACGAAAGCTACTGGTTAATTTTAGACTTCAAACGTTCGTGAGTGCAGGAATTCATATTCTTGGTTCTTTCTGTAAAGCCACGTAAATAGAAAACTGGTTAATGTTTGCGTGAAGATATACTTTGATTGACGTCTTGAGAACACTTGGAAATATTTAGTTGACGTGAATATCTTGAGCTCAAATGGCATTACGGTTCATCTAGAGGTTGATAAACGAGTTTAAATCAAATCATGCATTTTATCTTCTTGGTTCTTTCGGTATTGTCACGTAGAAGGGAAATAATAAAATAATACAAAATACAATTCTCACTGTGTGTTTTATTATGTTTCATTATTTTATTATTTCCCTTCTACGTGACTTTACCGAAAGAACCAAGAAGATGAATCCCTGCAGTCACGAATGCTTTATAATCAAATCATGCATTTTAGTTTTAACGCCTCTTAACTACACAACTAATCACGCTACGAAAAGTCCCTTGGGGTTGTTATTGATCCTCTTAATCTCTATACCCACTGGATGTGTCCGATTGCAACAGGATTCTAATAAAAAGCGGTTATTGAAGTGATAAAGGCTTCAGAAAAATGTGATTAAATTATAAACCGTGTAGCAAATCCATACCGATTATACCACATTTCCATCACGCTTATAATCGGGACATCTATATGTACACGTCTTTTGACAAATGAACTAAGGATGCAACTTAAAAGCGGTTAAGTTCACGAGACTCTAAACCCTGAATTCAGACTCCAGACCACGGCTGACATCAGTGGCAAGTGCCGTCTGAATCGCTTCGGTAAATTCAACCAAACCCGCACCTACCAGCGATAAGTATTGCACATAAGCATCGCCCTACATAAACATAGAACACAAGTACTATTCTTTGGTTCTTTTGGTAAAGTCACGTAGGTAAAAAAATTATAATAGAAATAATATAAATACAACAGTTTTATTTCTATTATGTCGAAATAATAAAAATAATAGAAATAATAATAGAAATACAAAATATATTTCTATTATTTCGAAATAATAATAAAAATAAAGAAAAATATATTATTTCTATTTTTTTTGCCTACATGACTTTACCGAAAAAACCTAAGAGTATGAATCCTTGCAGTCACGAAAGCTTCAAATCTAGAATTAACACAAGTACTCTTTGGTTCTTTCGGTAAAGTCACGTAGGTATCAAATAAAATTAAATCACGACGTTTCGGGCGCAACACAAGCATCCGTCATCAGGTGTGGGGACAACCACAGCAATAAACAATTGCTGAAGTGGATATTTTATAACTACGTGAAGAACCAAAGAGTATGGATCCCTAAAGTCACGAAAACTTCAAATCTAGATATAGACATAAAGTAGCCTTGCAGTATTCTTAGTCGATTGAGTTGTGCACCTACGTTGAACTTCTTTCGCACCGTACGTAGCTAATTGGCGGTGCGCGAGAGATATGGGGTTACTTTAAGCAGCACATTATTCAATAATGTCTTGATCTGGACTGTCCACAACTACTTAACTTCAACCGTGATGATCGGTACAAACTGAGTAATCATTGGAAAGATGTTATTAACCATGTAAAAAACATTTAACTACGCATATTTGTACCATCTTATTTGACAGGTACCATTCTACTTTAGTGATAGGTTTTTACCCTTTCAACTGGTACAAAAACTGACACCTTTATACAAGGCATCATGTTTGCAATAACCACAACACAAGCAGTCAAAATGCAAACAAAAAGAAACAACTCTGATAATGATATGCACTGTCCTTGAAGTTGATTGGTCCACACCCGAGACAGCTTTTCTTAGAGCCTAGTCTCCATACTTTACCGAGTGTTGACATCCCCAGCGTTTAACAGTACTGCTTTCATCTTCTTGGTTCTTTTGGTAAAGTCACGTAGAATCGAAATAATAAAATAATAAAAATACAACTTCTTTTTATTTTATTATTTCCATTCTACGTAACTTTACCGAAAGAACCAAGAAGATGAATCCTTGCAGTCACGAAAGCTTTAAATCGAAATTTAGTACTGCTTTCTTTTGTTTATTATCAGCTGACACCGGCCACAATCCCGAGTCGATGTGCACCAATTGTTCTATTTTAACCCCGTCTCCCCACCGGTCCATTCCCTGACTACCACAGTCAGATAAGCCCCTCCCCCCTCCACTAGTATATAAGAGCTCGTCTCTTGGATTTCTCTTCACTTGATAAATTTAGCTGTGACGGTCCCACCTGAAGACGGAGACTTGTGCTGCCTCCGGAACGTCGTGATTTATTTTATTTCTATTATCTCTATTATTTTTATTATTTATTTTTTTACCTACGTGACTTTACTGAAAAAACCAAAGAGTATGAATCCTTGCAGTCACGAAAGCTTCAAATCTAGAATTACTTACACAAGTTGTATGGATGGTGATCCCCGATCCCAAGCTCTATCCAGGCTCAACGCTGTTTAAGCTTATGAGGTCTGCTGAGATTGAGTACATTGTTGGTGATTTGCTGATTGTTTTATATAAAGACGGGATTACTGACGCATGTAATTATCTGCGCCGCATCGCATTTACAGTATAATTGTACAATAATGTCCACAAAAACAACCTCTGTACTTTTACCGAGTCAAATGTAAGGGGGATTGAGACCATTTAAATCCGCACCATCGTGGTGAAGTTTGGGTCAAACAACCGTGGAAAGGCCTTCACCCACAACGAGTGAATTTGACAAATATAGCTAAATGGGCGAATCAATCTTTGGCTTAACTGCATATGTCCAGGCCCTGAGTGAAGCATATGAAAGCATTATTATGACGTCCCCATAATGTAAAAAGCCAATGGTAATTTCCACTCTCATATCGCTTTAAGCAGACGCTGCCAATCCGCGTGCATGCGGCTCAGCCGTCTCCGTACACTGGACATTGAACGCGTACAGCAGTGGAGGTCGAGGCTGGGGGGGGGGGACAGGGCGGGGCTTCCTCAAAAGTAGGCGGCGCCCACCAAGGCAACGAACCAATCGCGAACGAGACGAGCGTAGCAAGCCCCTCCCCCCGCCGCACCCACCAATCACAACTAAAAATAAATTAACGAGATAGCCAATCAGGAGCGGACATCCCTCGCGGCGGCTACGCCCCCCCCCCACTCCGTCACACCCCCCCCCCGCCTCACACACCCGGCGATCGCAAGAGTTGCATGCCGCGCATGCGCAGTGCGCGTGATCGCCGCCCCTCGTATACAGAGCACTTCGCGGCCGGCGAGGAAATAATAGTAGCGATATAAATAATGAAAGAGCGCGGCAACGCAACATAAATAATGAAATAATGCGGCGAAATACCACCTCCAGCGCACGCACACACACCAGACCGGGGGGGGGGGGGGGGTTGTGTGTGTGAGACTCGCAGAGAGAGAGAGTGCGCGAGGGAGAGCGAAGAAGAAGAGACGGTCACACAAGCCCAATACATACGCACGTCAGGCCCCGTAGCCCCCCTCCTCTGTCCGCAGCTTGATGTCGCCCCCCCACCATACGAGACGTTTGGGGGGCTTCCCCCCCCCCCTTCCGTCGCTCTCGTCTCGGTTTCTCTCTCGTCCGGTGCCGGCGCAGAGGCGAGAACGTGGAGGCCAAAGTAGAGGAGTTGCGTGCACACGAAAGCGAGCGCGCGCGCGAAAATGGCCGAATGCACGCGCGAGGGCAGTGGCTGAGCGCAGTGTACACAGCGCGTGTGAGCTGTTTGGGGGGCCCTAGGGGGGCGTGCGAGTGGGCGAGCTGACGGGCTGGCGGGAGGGCCCTCCCGCGTGTGCACACACACGCGGGAGGGTTTTGGTGGCTTTTGCTAACCCGGTGTACGAATCGGTGGGTGTTGTTGTTGGTGTTTGTGGTTGGTTGTTTGTGGTTGATGGACTTTGTGGGGGACGGGGGTTGTTGTGTGGTAGGTTGTACAAAAATGGGTACACGTTCGGTTGAAATTTGACGTTGGTTTTTGATGATAGATTAGATATTAGCTTGGCTAGCTTAGTTTAAAGTTGGGTTATTTTTGCGAAAATTTTGTTATGCATTTTTTAAATAAGTATTCACATTTGCGGTATGTAAAGTCATTTGATTTTTTCAATTAACATTTGTGGTTTAGACTTTTTCCATTCAACTTTTATTTATAAAAAAAAAATTATGAATTCTTAATATTATGTTCCTTCCTCGTTTCATCATGAACGCAATTATTTTTTTAACAATTTAGCGATTTTTTTAATGTTCATGATAAACGTATGTTTTCAAATCAGGATTCAAATTGTTTATTTATATGTTTGTAAAACCCATCAAACATGTGCTGTGTATTTGTGTATTCGTGTTCTTCACGCTGTGGATGACGATTACAAATTACGTAGTGAACGTCAATTGTAAATAACCAAATTTGACAACATATACAGCCATATACACAGCGGAGAAGTTTGCTTATAGTAAGATAAACATAAGTGCCCGAGTACACATGAAACGCCAAACTACCTAATTAATAATAAATCACTTTAGTTGTGGCTGGGCGTGTGTTGTCGAATTTGAAAGCGAACAAAACACTGAAACGAATAATCAAATTTAAAAAAAGTTTCACTGTATTCGCGAGCGACCGTCGTCCGTCCGCGGTACCTTGGGATCCCCCTGTTTGGTGTGCAAACACAACGTATCGCAATGGGGTGATCTCATCCCATCCCATGCGCCACTGCACGTGTCTCTGCGTGTGCATTCCACGCACAGTCATTCGCCCCATGCCACTCGCACGCTTACCTGCTGTTTGCGTGGTGCTTTGGTGTATTGGTGTTGGCGTTATTAGTGTGCAATCAGCGACGGTGGTATATTGGTGGTGTATATGTCCATAATATAAGTTCAGCCATAATGCACAGTTTTGTCCCGTGACCTGTCTTAGAGCTTTCCTCGCTTCCCACGTGGCCTCGAAGTGTACCTAGCCTGGCACAAGCGCTGTGGTGACGTCCTTGAGTGGCGAAAGGCGGCTATTCTGTGTGTACATACGGGAAGATGGCATGGTTAGAGATTCAATGCTGGTCAGTTTCACAATTTCGACATTTCAGACACTTTAGAAACGTGGATAAATATTCGTACTTGTTGAATCACGAAGCGGCGTTTTACTTGTCACGCAATTACGTGTCATGCGAGCACGATTGTAATTGAAATATAAATATAATTGCCTAATGATGAAATGTCCTTTTACTTGGGTATGCCATGCCAACCAATTACCACTGTAATTAATGCCGATTAAAATAATGTGTTCTCACCTTACTCGATAAGAGTTAGACTTATCAGACCAGTGGTGAATACAAGGAGGGGCATCAGCCAACAGTGGATGGAGCATGGCTGATGATGATTATTATAAGGTTGAGTATTAAGTAGAACAGCAAACAAAATACGTGCTGGAAGTGCCAACTGCACTGTAATATGTGGGTCATAAAGGTTTTTGGGTCAAATCACGTAAGTATAAATGTGTTGTAACCCTCCACCACCCGACACAGCCACTCAGTAAGGGATTTGTCACGTAAACAAAACGCGCCAATTAGTTACCAGTATAGTGTAGTGTATAGTGTAGTGTGCTACTTCAGCCCACCGGTGTGTTGGAGAGTAAATCCACAACATTTACAATTTGAGTAGTACGACGTTTCGCTGGTAATTACATCCAGCATCATCGGGCGATTTGCCAGAATAGTGAAGCCTTCCACGAAGTTCCGGTCTTAAATAGAGCAAGACGAGAGAAATACAAATATTTCTAACCGCTCTCACAGATACAAGCTTAGTGCGGCCTGGAAGCGTTTTCTTAAGTAATTGTAAGATGAGTTCAAGAGAACAGCGGACCCCACATGAGTGGTGCAAACACGTGGAAGAAGAAGACGTCTTACAATTACAATCCCTTAACAGAGGAAACACATACTCATTCAATGGTTACTAATCTATTATATAATTACAATAACTCGCCTCTGATATCTGCACTTGATGGGTTCAGTGATGCCGTCGTTTTGCTATTTTCTAAGAGCGCAAGCAGGTGGCAGATCGCCCGATGATGCTGGATGTATTTACCAGCGAAACGTCGTACTACTCAAATTGTAAATGTTGTGGATTTACTCTCCAACACACCGGTGGGCTGAAATAGTAAACTAATTGGCGCGTTTTGTTTACGTGACAACTACCTTACTGAGTGGCTGTGTCGGGTTGTGGAGGGTTACGACACATTTATACTTACGCGGTCTAACCCAAAACATATATTATGAATTATATTGGTCGCGAAAGCCTACGTGTTTAACTGAATATGTAGGTCACTGACGATTATGCACCATTAAGTGGCGTAATAATGACAGGAAAACATCGTCAGCGATCGGTGATGTAAAGGAGCGTCTAATTCACAAGCCCATGTTCACATTATAATCCGTTATCCGGTTTTATATACAGCTTTTATATACACACTGGCTACCTTAGAATATTCATCGTAAGCATCAGCCGCAATGGGTGTCCAAGGCTAATAGTTGGCCAAAAGCTGTTTTACAGAGCAGTAATGCACTGTCTTGAAATCTTTCCTGTATTCAGATACGATTTAGATTATAATTGTTAAAGAATTGTACATTTCGATTTAAAGCTTTTGTGACTGCAGGGATTCATCTTCTTGGTTCTTTCGGTAAAGTCACGTAGAAGGGAAGTAATAAAAAAATATTTTATTATGTTTTATTTTTATTATTTTATTACTTCCCTTCTACGTGACTTTACCGAAAGATCCAAAGAAGATGAATGGTACATTCCTCCGTGTTTATTTTACAAAGCAGACTTGATACGCAAATGGTGTCCGGGAAAAATACTGACTAAAATGTCGAAACCGCAATGCCACGCAACATCGATGTGTGGAGCCGTGGGTGTAACATGGTGGTGCAACGTGCCAGGAAGATGCCCACAAGTTCGAACTTCAGCCAAGGCGAACGTTAGTGGCGAGTAACATGGGAACGAGTTGCGGACAACCTCTTCATTAAATTCACGCCGACCAGCGTGGTGAAGTATGGTAAAAAAAAATACTTCCCAAGACCAACATGGCACTGGGAGGCCTTCATCCAACAATGGTTATAACCGGTTGAGAAAAAAACAGCGAATTTTATTTGCTGTTAATACACATTGTGTTATTTATTTATTATTTTATTAATGGTTCCTAACCACTCATTCCTATTTTTGGACATTCATCGGTGCCATTTCTGAAAAATATAAATTGTCACCGTACAAGTATTACATTTAAAGTACGTAGTTATATAAATAAAATCTTGATTAAAAATTGCTGTATTTATAAGATAAATATATCTGAACATTTCAGTTGACTGGCCTTCTTTGGGAAATACACGTTTCATTTAAATAGCATGCAACCATACTTAACTCTTCTGGTGTGTGCGGGTTGATGAAGTGGGTGGCAGGGCTGGCAAGATCAGTTCGGTCATCACTTGCCACTGATGTTAGCCGTGGTGAAGAATCAAACTCAGGTTGTCTAGTTCCGAGTGCAATACACGAGCCCCTAAATCACCGCTCTCTCTCTCTCTAATATCACATCTACATGGCATACATTCCCACGGGTTTATATTTTTCGCATTAAATATTTTCACAACCATTTCACCACCAAAACGACTACTTCATTGGGCTCTGCCTGGGGTCGATTAAATGCTGTAGTAAGTCATTAGCGGATAGCCCGTCTCATTGTGAAGTGGATTCCCACCACTAACATACGACCACCAAACAAAGACAAGCCTTTCCCAACGCTCACTTAAACAGGAATACACTTTGACTTGACCCTCGACTCCATATTCACGATGCAATTAACTCTGGAACGCATCGATGTGTCTCAATTTTTCTCAAGATGGTCCTTTTTTCTGCCGGTTAATTTTTCGAGGCGAGGTTTTGGAAAGACACGATATGAACCTTATGGCGGGACCCCGGGGTCCCGAATAAACGGAAGTCAAAATCGTAATTAATGTATTTTTGGCGACTCCGTCCCACCGCGCACATAAACGCCGCGACCCGCCTGGCGTAGATCATTCTGTTGTCGTGTTGTGTCCAAGCGCAGCAGCGAGGACGAATGCGCAGAAGAGCTGAACAACTGAATGCACTCCATGCTTGGGTATGAGCAGGATCATTAGTCTTATCCTAAGCTGCTCAAACTGCCTACATAACTGTATGCATGATACGGTGAAACTGCTCTCTTCATTATTATTTGTGACCTACCAATGTCTGCAGCCAGGATCAATTGATGACAATCCTATTACCTGCAGATATTTAACAGATGATATGTGTTGCACCGTTAATTCCTCCTGTTTGATAATACTTCTCTTGTCCGTATGCATCTGTGCAGATAGCTTTTTTGCGGTAAAGCCATAGTCCCCACATACCGCTCGTATCAATGCGGATAAGAGGAGCGGCGACCTACTACTCTGTAGAGTAACATTGGTAGAAACGTTTGTTACAATATCAACAGCGCATTGAAAAAACGTACAACTTTTTGTACTGTTTACAAAGTGTGTTCACAAATCCACACTGAGAAACACGATGATTGACAGAGCGGTGTAAATTATTTTTTCGATAGTGTATTTAAATAGAGGTACTGCAGGTAAGTAGTTTTCAGTTTTAAAGGCATAGTTTAACAAGACAACACTAGCCACCATCCTTC